AAGAGTCCCACAGACTTTTCTGCCCAAGCTGGCTTTGAACTTTGATCTTCAGATCTCAGCCTCTTGAGTAGCAAGGATTGAAGTTGTGAGGCACTGGCAGTGAGCAACAAAAGCTTTTGAAACATAAACTAGTGCCAGGCACAACACAAGCTCACTGAGGATGTCTCATCACACTGCCTGCCTGGGCCTAGTTAAGTGTTCCTGCTACTAGCTTCCATTTCTGTCCTAAAATGAAGCATTCAAGCAAGATGCGATGGCAGTATAAGCAAGAACACATTAGCTATCTCCTCTTCTTTTTATGACATGTTTTCCTTTATCAGCACATCTCTCTGGTTTGATCCTTAGAGACCGAATAAGGTTGGGACAGCTGTCTGAGCTTTGTCTGTGTATACTGATGGTCCACAAAAATCACCAGTGACAAACTAAGAAACATAGACAGCAGGTTGGAATGCTCTGGCTGCTGGAGGAGAGGAATAACCAGCAGAACAAGGTTCTGCTCTTGTTTTCCTTCCACCTGACTACTGCAAACTCTCCCATCACAAAAATTCAATCTATGCACAACAAAGGAATGCAGCAAATATTCAGAGACCTGAACAAAACAGATTGAAGTGCAACTCTTCAGTCTCTCAATGTCCCAAACACCTTTGAAAAATCTTCCTTTACTTGATCAGTTCTTAAAGTTTAGTGGAAATAAGAAACTCAGTGAATAGAAGATTAAAGGACAGGCAGGTCGCCGGTGGCTCACACCTGTAATCCTAGCTACTCAGGAGGCTGAGATCTGAGGATCCCAGTTCAAAGCCAGCCCGGGTAGAAAAGTACATGAGACTCTTATCTCCAATTAACCACTAGAAAACCAGAAGTGGTGCTGTGGCTCCAGCAGTAGAGCACTCGCCTTGAGCTGAAGAGCACAAAGACAGCGCCCAAGCCCCAGAGTTCAAGCCCCACGACCAACAAAAAAAAAAAAAAAGAGTAAAGGACTTCCAGATGAGAGAGCTTGAAGACAGATAGCTAGCCAAGCACATTGGTTCACACTTGTAATCCTAGCTACAGAGGAGGCTGAGATTGGAAGGGTCACAGTTCAGGTCTAGCCTGGACTAAACTTTCTTGAGAACCCCATCTTAACAGAAATAGAGTATGTCTGTTTTCCAGCTATTGCAGGAAGTGTAAGTAGGAGGACTATAGTCCAGACCAGCCTGGATAAAAAGTGAGACCCTATAACAAAATTAATCATAGCAAAAGGGCTTTCGGGGGTATGGCTCAAGTGATAGAGCATGAGATCCTGAGTTCAACCCCTAGTACTATGGAAGGAAGGAAGGAAGGAAGGAAGGAAGGAAGGAAGGAAGGAAAAAGATTTTTGTTAAGTTTCTGTCCTTGACTATTGAATCAGTTACCTAAGCTATCTACTTTATTTTTTTTCAAAATTTTTATTGTGATTAAGTGGTTACATAATTTCCCAAATTTCACAGTATTGTGGGATAGTGATGCTTAAAGTCACAAACATATTCTAACTTTGATGGAGCAAATTGTCTATCATGGTCTATAACATTTATAAGTTCTATGAGCTTTGCAATACAGTTATTTCTTCCACATTGGGTGATATGTACATTCCTTTTGTTTTGCATAGGATCAGCTGTTCCCTCTTTCCCACTTGTTCCCTCCCTCCCATCGCTGCCATCTACTTTTTAAGACCTGAAGTGATTGTTGAATTCTAACTCCTTTGTACAACTACTTAAAGATAATAAAAATATTAAAAATATCTGAGCTGGGAGAAGAGATTAGAGGATTAAGGTTTGACACCATCCTAGATGAGACTCCTTCTCAACCAATGGCTGGTGTGGTGGTGCACTTGTTATGCTCAGAGATTTAAAAAAAGACCCTACCTCAAAAATACCAGTGTAAAAAAGTGTGGAGGAGTCATGGCTCAAGTGATTAAATACCTACCTAGCAAGTAGAAGCCCCTTATTTAAATCTCTAGTAGGAAAATGAAGAAAGAAAAGCAAGCAAGCAAGCAAGCAAGGAAGGAAGGAAGGAAGGAAGGAAGGAAGGAAGGAAGGAAGGAAGGAAAGAAGGAAGGAAGGAAGGAAGGAAGGAAGGAAAAAAAGGAAGGAAAGAAGAAAAGAAGAAAGGAGGGAGCCAGGTGCTGGTGGCTTACACCTGTAA